GATGCAAGTTGAATGCATATTGAACTAATGCTGTGATTAAATAATGTTTTGTGATTCCAATTTGTGTTTTTTGTTCTTCATGCCCCATTTCTCAACTAGTGGTCAAAATTTAAGTATAATTTTTATTGCAGGTTTCTTTTCCCATGGTACATATCTGTATAACGTATATACCAAGTTTTATCGAAATGGGTCTACCAGAATGAGCTCTACATAAGTCTGAATAGGTTAACTTATAATTATAATTACGCTGTACATTAAGGAGAAAATAATTATCAATTATCCACCAAATTACTTTTAAAAAAGTTAGAAAATAATAGCATTATATTATTTTATAATGCTAATAAAAGCAATTAATTAATTCATCTATTTGTAACTTTTCTACAATATTTGCTTCACAAAGCACGGAATAAAATATTATCGTGAATTATTATCAACAATATTCCACGCTCTTTCCATGTGCTCCACAGCACTCCTCGAACATTCACAGGAGATTTAAAACATTCTGGATCATGCACCTCAAATGCATGATCCACGCTCCACATTTGGCCACTGACTCATTTTTCTTTGGCCCACAGTTCACCCTGAAAAATAAAAATATATACATAATTATAAAACATTAATAAAAAATTAAATTCCACTCAATAGAGGCATATATACAACCTTAGGTACCAAAAAGGATACTTAGGATGACATTTATATTATTTTCTCGGTGGGCGTTGAGAACATGCCTGCCTATTTGCAAATGGGAGAGAAATTCAGTGCATCCCAACTGTAATTTAAAAACATTGTGAAGTGAATGTTCCCGAATGTTACAAATACCTGCCTGCATGTTTCCCAGAAAGCTGAAAATTTGCATCGTGCGTGATTTCCACGTTCTGTTATACATATCAGAGTAAGCAAACCTTTACGAAAATTTTCTGTTGAAGATAATAGAGCTTTAGAGAAATTCTTACGGAACTTTATACATAGCGGGGGACAAGATGGTGCACAGGACGTCGACGACCAATTTTAATTTGCATGAGCATGGCCGACAGACTAGGATTGATATTGTTTATAGGTAGAAACAGTATTTCTCAATAAAACTCTAAAGAAATTTTATAAAGCTTTTAGAGAATAGAATTTTATAAAAATATTATTTTGCAAAATGAGAGAGAAATTTTATAAAGCTTTTACGAAATGATATTCAGTAGACATATGCAAAGTTTTCAAACTGTAACTCAAAGCAATTTTTATGTATTATTAATCCATCTAAGAGGCTCACATATATTAGGCCAAAGGTGCAATTTGCCCTGAAGGGCTATTGCTTTCGTTTTGCGATTTTGCGTTGCTTCACTATAAATGTCCGTTTCACTTTTCAAACTGTTGCCACCAAATGTTAGAGTCCTGCATTATATTTGAAAAAATTAAATAATGAAAAATCTGCATGAATGTATGTATATTTCACGCATTGTGACAAAACAACGGTACATAGATTCATCGACTTTTGAATAACGTAATCTTACTGCGAATATGGGTCTGTGGAAGCCCAAATTTGAAATATCTATTTCATATTTTGTAAAACTTTAACGAATTTTTGATTAACAAACTCAACGATTTAAAAGCGAGCAACGGCGAAAAAGACCTTTTTATCTCCAGCGCACGGGACTGTGTATCGGAAATTCTAAAGATATGCTCAATTTTAAATTATTTTACGATATTGCTGTTGAACTGAATTTTACGGTTTAAGTGCTAAGAACATGCTATTTAATAAATAAAGGTAACACACAAAACGTTAAAAAAAACCTCCCCTTTAGTCGTAATTTAAAATCTGAAACCTTTCAGATTTTTTTTCAATTTTATTTGCAAATATCAGTTACTAGGTGGTAAAAAATAACTTTATTTTTCTTTCATATGTGCTACTGATTATCTGTTTTGAAATAAGTTATTCAAAATGTAATTGATTTTAAAATATAATTTATTCAACAATTTCTAAAACTGATCTCACGCAATTGTTCGGACACTTTAAATAAGCAGTTTATATTTAATAAGAACATGAAAATCACAGAATATTCAATATTTCATTGTATTTCCTTCAGCTAAAATGATACTTTTCATGTGTTTTGGCATGGATTCAGTTAATGCTTTAAAGTAAGAATGTGCCATTTGTGTCATTCCTACGTAAGGACTGCCTTTAGTAAACTTTCGAAGAAAGACCATGTTTCCTTATTCTTTTCTTCATTTCAGTTCCTGAAATTTCGGACATGTTTGATAGGATTTAATTTCGGAGAATATGTAGAATTTTGGTAAATTCAGGACATTTGTATAACAACCACAAGTGAATATTTAAAGCTGTATATTTAGGATTGTTAAAGACACTGCTTAAATAAAACATTAAGGACATTCGTGATTACACCTAATATAAAAAAAAGAAGATGGTTTTAAAATTTGAGTACGATATAGTATTATTATTTGCTTGGAACAAAATTCTAAATCTTGAAAACTGAAACATCGAAAGTACTATGAGGATTTGGCTCGCATTAAATCGGTATTAAGTATATTATATTCTAAATAATCCTGAAAATCGTGAGTGGTACTGTTGTTACAGTTTTTAATAAAATAGATTATCTATTTTATAAACATGTGGCTTTCATTGTCGGAAAAAATGTTAATCCTTATAATAAGAGAACAGAATTTTACTACTATCTGCTTAGCAGAGTTAATGTTTATGGTATAAAAACAAAGAATATGTCTTCCTTTCCGGCTGAAATAAGTGTTCTCTGTGCACTTTAATCTTCCTACCAAATTAGATGAAAGATTAAAATTCTACAGAGCAACTTTTCTCAGTCTGGAAACCAACGTGTACACACCTATAGCTGAAAATCTCAGAATTTTGAAATTACACATGGCAATCGCCTATCACATTTTCTCCTAAATATCTGTCTACAAGACAATTCTTTGACTGTTCTTAATATCCATGAGGAAATGAAAGGGTTTGAGATAAAATTTAGCTTGTTGTTTGGTTGGCCGTTTAATTTACGTGTTCCGCCATCTCCGATTCAGTCATTACACGGTCGAGACGGGAGACAAAGAAATCGTCAAAACGTCCTCAAAAGGGAGTCCTCGTTGCGCAGTCAAACCTCTCACAATGGAACCCCACAACACTGCCGGTATTTGAAAATTTTGAAAGCTCCCTTAGCACCCCTAGATGAACCGACGAAATCAATCCCAGAGGAGGAGTGGGTTGGTTGCGTGAAGCAGTCATTTTTCATTCCTTAGAACCTTTTATAGTAGAAAATGATATAATTATTGGAAAAGACTTATTTTGCATATACGTTCGCATCTCGAAACTCTGAGTACATAACGTGAACTTTATTTTCCAAGTAGTAAGTATAAAAAATTTTCATGGATTCATGATCTTTTCCATTGCGATATTAAAATTAACAAATTGTCACAGAATGAGAGAATAGTTAACTGAACTGCCGAATGACACCGGATGTTAAATGAAATAATAAGCAGAAGGTATGGTTAATTTCTGCATTTCATTACTCGTAAAAATAGAATAAAGTGATATGTACAATGGTTCTTAAAAAAATTATAGTTAGTTTTGCTTTTACATATCTGTATAAGAAAGAGCTTTTAACACTAATTCAAATAAAAGCAAAGTTTTGTTTTTTCCCCAAACGGAGGGCACTATTTCATCTAATAAAAGGAAAGCACTTAAGGTATGCCCATCTCCGTTTCGGTTTAGTTGATTATGGTAAAGCACATTAAGGCTATCTTCCCAAGAGGAGGGATGCCTTCGTGGAGGAATTTCTAAGGAACACTGGCTCGAATACACGTTACACATGGGAAAGCCAAGAAAACGCCCATGCAACCAGCCCGTTCGCCTGGAATCAAACTCAGGTCGGAACTACCAATGTTCAGCGACTTAACTGCTCAGTCGTTGGTGGGCAAGTGTGCGGATCTCGGACTTAAGCTTACCAGCCTACATCCAAACATGAAACAGCTGTGCAAGAATCAACTGGCTCAGCCATATTGCGAGTCCAAATATTATTTAGCTATTCAGTTTTTAGTTACAGTTTTTAGCAAATCCTAAATTATTAAAAACAAATATAGGGTGTCCATAAAGTCATTACATAACTTTACACTATTATTGTGAACATCCTGTAAGAGGATACCTGCTGTAAATTTCTATGGTGTTATTAAAAGTATGTCAAAGCTTTCTCCCAGTAGTTTGTTTTGGCTTAATGTACACATAATATAGGACTTTGGGATTTCGAAAATCCTCAAGTCATAAGGCAATTGAAGCGGCGCAAACTGAAAGTGAATTTTTGGTGTGGAATGTTGCATAACGAAATTTTACGATCATTCTTCTTCAATAAACAAATAATAACAGCCATAGTTTGTAGAGACAATAGGAATTTTTTGGAAGCAGGATTGATGAGAAATGAGTAACGCCTTCGCCAGGAATCGAACTGTCCGTGAACCTCTGGAATACGCGCCCAGAGTGCAGAACACCACACCACGAAGCTATGTTAGGAAGGCGGGAGAAATAAGCTTCGCTCAAAACATTGATTAAACACATTTGTCTACAGCTGAACGACCGTCAACCAAAAGTCATTTTGTCGCACGTCAAAATTGTGTCACTTGTCGAAAAAAATTAATCTTTTGGGGCAAGTGCGACGTTGCAAAAGATATAGGTTGATCCTTACCCAAACAAATTGTTCAGGAACTTTGTGAATACTCCGTATAAATTTTTTGCAATTAACTTAATTGATTAATACTAATATAACATTAAATCTAATTTAATTAAGTCTGTTTTATAATCATAAGTATACTGTAAAAACATATTTAAAAATTCCTTTCGATAGAGATAAGAATAAGATGGTACGCAGAACAGTCTAATTTGTAAAAGTGGACCTCATTTCAGAAACAATGCTTAAGGGCGTTTGGACCTCATTTGAGAAAATATGCTGAAGATTGTTATAGTAGGAACATTAAATTATAAGTAAATTGCTTACGTGAGGGGCAATCATCAGGGTCAACACAGTCCCCATCATCAGTTCGGAGTAGGCCGTCTTTGCAAAAACAGCCAGGTTTACAATCATGATCTTCACATGCATCTCCTCTGGCATAATTATAGCAAGTGTTATGACACCTTGGTGCGCAAGGCCACCAATCTTGGTCATCACGACACGAATCTGGAAAAGAAAATACACTTCCTTTAAGGCAGTGTTTCTCAAACTATGGTACATGATAAACTACCACTAATGGTAGAGTAGCATTGTTTCGTGGTACAATATTTACACAAAATATTTTAATGAATGTAAAATGGCGCTCTTATTTTATACATATACATTGGTGCATAATGATACATAAATTTTGGATTCTTATTTAACGTGGTACTAAACTAAAAAAATGAGAACCTTGCTTTAGGGCGATCGCTAGAAGGGGAAGCCACCCTGTAATATTGTAGAAGATGGTAAAGATGTTAGATAATTGTATCGAGGGATATTAACTATTTGTGAATATGTAAGTGAAGTTTTTTCAGAATTATAGACGTGCCTCATCTTGCTTTTATTCAACTCTAGTATTTACTCTTTTAATCATTTACTTTAAAATCAATCAAATTTCAGTTAACATTTCAGTTCACAGATTCTTATAGAATTAGTAAAGAGGTGAAATAACCTGGAGACTCTTCTTCTGTAACCGTATCCGCAAGAGATTGCTGCGATGTCGTTGCAGATGTAGTACTCTTAGAGTTCAGGGCTGTCGTAGTTCCGTCATAAGAATTTGTTTCACCTGGAAAGATCATAAAAAGAAAGAAGTGATAATAAAACAATCTGTTAGGTTATTTCAAAGTAAAATATTTTCAAACTATGCAAGGCATCACTCGTAGCACAATGTTTAGAGAACAAATATAACAATGCAATGTTTATCAGTTATTAACATTCATATTTTCTTGGAGATAATTTTTTGATCCCAAAAGTTTGTTTAGCGACAGCGACACTTTCGAAACCCTTACCTATTTGCCTTTATCTATCTATTCGTGGGAGTCATGCAGGGTAAAAGACGTCCACAGTTAAGACAAAATCACCGATCGTCAAAGGGTATTTATTAAGGGCTTTCCGTTTGGCGGGGAGTTCGGTTACACTAGCCTTTGGCATGAGTTCGAATCCCGTAGAAGGTATGGATATTTTCAAATGTATTGTGTGTTTGGAATATGGAGATATTTCAAATGCTGTCGTGTCCTCGGTAAGTTGAAGGCAGGGAAACAGAAGTAGGAGATCCTCGGATATGTCTCGTGGCGTATTTCCTATCAAAATTGGGACGAAGTTTCCCTTTTCTCGCGCGTATAATATCGGTCGCTCCCTGTGATAAACCTTGGGAAAGATTCTTAGTGATGAGATGAATAAGTGACCCATGGATTCTTCGACTACAGATGGATGCTTGAGTAGCAATTATCTGACCATTAAGAGAAAAAAATATAAAACCAGAGAGAAGAGGAATAACTTGAATTAACAGAAAAGGTATTATTAACCACTTACTTTATCTTCAACTTCCGTTTGTAGAGACATTAGGATTTTTTGAAAGCAAGAGAGATTAAAAATTGAGCAACGCCTTCGCCGGGAATCGAACCACGGACCTCTGGAATACGCGCCCAGCGTGCAGACCACCACACCACTACACCACGAAGGCACACTAGGAAGGCGGGAGAAAATACCTTATTTACTATTTTCCCTCTTCTAAAGGGTGACTGGGGTTTTTAGGGGACCTAATCGCCAAATTTTGGGAGTGGAGAATCATCATCCAATATCCTTTTAGTTCGGGCGCCACTGTAGAGACATTAGGATTTTTTGAAAGCAAGAGATATTGAAAAATGAGCAACGCCTTCACTTGCAATCGAACGACGGAGCTCTGGAATACGCGCCCAGCATGCAGACCATCACACCACAAAAGCAGACCACCACACCACGAAAGACGGGAGAAATACCTTATATACTCAGCCAATATAGTTGTTAGTGACGCTGACTACCGTTCCGATGGACTCTGTTCGAATAACAGAGAAAGCATGGATGTTCGTAAGTGTACAGTGTTTGTTCTGCAAGAGGGAAGCAGGAAAGCCTCTCGAGAGATTAGTAACAGGGGTAGAAGAATGGATCTCTCAAAAGTTGGTGGTAATGGGAGAGAGAGACAACCTCGGACTGCCCCCTTCCCGAGATTTCTCCTTCAAAATTGGGACCGAAGCTTAGCAGTTAATAAGGCTCGGTGATACTTAATATATATGTGTGTGTGTGTGTGTGTGTGTGTGTGTGTGTGTGTGTGTGTGTGTGTGTGTGTGTGTGTGTGTGTGTGTGTGTGTGTGTGTGTGTGTGTATAATGTTGTATGATCTTAAATTCATTTTATTCGAAAACAAGTTATTCGAATACTTTCGCAATAGCTGCAAACAATTTACATGGTTTGTTCCCCTTTAAAAGTCAACTAATTTCCAATCAATAGCAATAATTACTTGCTTTTAATTTAATTTCTCTTTCAAAGTTTGAAATTTTGTTATTCATGATTTGCTTATTTACTTACCGTAAAACATTTTTAACAATTTACATTCAAGTTACTTTAAAACAATTTTCGGAATTAAACTTCCTACCTATGGGTTCACTCTTTTTAGATACTTCTACTAAAATTAATATTAGGAGATAACATAATCAATATTTCTTTATTAAATAAATTATTATATATATGTATATCTATGGGAATGCACAGATTTTGGCTTTGCTTCAACCTATACCTGTACCTTCAAGTAGTTTAATCTGTAGGATAGGCGTCTGGGTTACGCAAAATAATTTAAATAATTCAGCAATAAAACAAAAAGGTCGTGATATAAATAACGAAAGTATGCAGATATTTACATTATTATAACTAATTAAAATGTTAAAAACCAAGTTGTACTAATGATTTCCTTTTCGCGAAGAGTGAGGCGCCCTATCCGTCGAGATTTTAGAGTGTCGAGATAGAAAATATATATGTAAAATAAAAATATGAAAATCAAAATTTTAATTACATATTAATTTACAATGGCTCCTTAATCGTCCATTTTAGTTTGGCTGTTTCCTCTTTTTGTTCTTAAAATAGTGACTGCTTGTAATAAATCTCTTTAAATTGCAGGATTTCAAAATACTCATTTATATTTATATACAAAACAAATAAATAATTGATTTCATATTTGTAAATAAAATGACTAAGAAATCTTTTTAAAAAATAAAAAATTTGATTCGGGGATCGCAGAATGCCCGAATATTGTTGTGATGCAAAATGTTCAACTGTTCTACTCAATAATAGACTATGTAATACCAAATATGGAGCATACATAACACCGAATATGGTCGAGATACAAAATTTTCGAGTGGTTAATAACAGCAGAGTATGTAATATCCAAAATGGTCGAAGCGTAATTCAAAAGTCCCGGAAAACTTTAAAAAATGTATTGCAGCCACACGAGTAGCATTACAAAGTAACGAAGTGCATCATTTTAGAGAGTAATCATACAGACTACAGTTATTGCAAAAGTTATATCCTTAAGACCAGCCAGTCTAGTTTTGCTGTGCATTGCAGGAAAAAGACAATGCTTTTGTGAATTCAATAATTATTTTTCGAACGGGGCAGCATTTCATACAAAATGGGAAGGTAAACAGACACATCTATAGAATTTGGGAGACGGGAAACCCGCATGACATTGTTAGACACAAGCGAGATTCTCCAAAAGTCAATGTTTTTTGTGCCATGTCTCACAAGAATCTTAATGAACCTTTCTTCTTTGAAGAACAAACTGTTACTAGAGAGTCCTTCCTTCAGTTGTGGCAGACATGGTAACAGACATTGTTGCAAACTGAATCATAGAAATTTGTCCTTCAGTTAGATGGTGTACCCTCACATTTTCACCATGTTGTTAGAGCATACCTGAACGCAGAGCTATCTAATCGTTGGATTGGTCGTCGTAGAGCTGCTAAAACGACCTCCTAGGTCCCCGGATATCACCCCTTGTGATTTCTTTTTATGGGGTTATGTAAAGGATCCTGTTTATGTCCCTCCACTTCCGGATGATGTTATGGAATTGAAAAGGAAAACTGAACAAGTAGCAGCCACAGTCTCGGAAGACACTTTGTACCGCTTGTGACAAAGTTAGATTTATAGCGTCGACATTTGTAAGATCATACATAGTTCCCACATACAGTGTTTGTAAAATGAGAGTTGTTGAAAAACCTTACAACCTTAAAACCTTACAACCTTATTCTCTAAAATGATATACTTCGTTACTTTGTAATGCTACTGGTTTGACTAGAATAATTTTTTTTAAATTGTTCTTTACTCAGTAATGTTAGCCTTTGTAATAAAGAATATAATTGAAATTCTTTATCAATAATACTAGACTATATAGGTTTTTGGCATATATTATATAGTTTCTAGTATTTAAGTTTGACTGCTTTATAAAAAATGCTATATTATGTAATACCAAGTATGGATGAAATTGAAAATAATTGTCTACGTTAGTCAATAATATTAGCCTCCGTGATAAAAAGTATTGTCGAAATGCTTTATCAATAAACTTAAATTAGATACGTGCCTATTATTAATTGTATAATTTTTAGTATTAAATTTTCACTGCTTTATCAAAAATAGACTATTTAATACCAAATATGGAGACTGCATAACACCTAATATGGTCGTACTATAGAATTTTCGAGAAATGAACTTGATAATAGCAGGGTACACCTTGCACGAAAAACAAAGAGGGAAAAAATGGGATGCTGCGTTTTTCATGTCTCGAAAGCGAAGTTTAAGATATATATTATATGTACGTACAGTATTGTTCTAACATAGGAATTTTGACCCAAAATAGGATTTTTTCCGAGATGACATCCCTATTTGTTTCCATATTTCGATACCACGGCTCATGTTATGCTCAAACATTAAATTTTGGTGGAAAACTTAGCGGGAAATTTAAAAAGTTTATATTGACGCACTTTTTCCAGTTTGCCCCAAGAATAATTCATTTGGCGGAATTCTTAATTTAGTATAATAACTTATTTTCTTTTCCCTTTTTTCATTGTGCATGAGCGGGAAAAAATGTGAAATGTTCATTCTTTCAAATAATTATAACAAAGTGCGTAAAGCATATTTAACATATCGCATAAAGCAAATATGATAAATTTCAAAATGCGCCAATCTATAAATTCTTGGGAAATTTTGAATAAAAAACTATAATATTTTGCAGGTATGTCTAAAAATACATATACTTTTTAAGTTGATTGTAAAAATTTTATAGGTTATAAATAAAAACATTTTTCGAAAAAATTATAAAAATTACTAAAAAATACAAATTGAAAAATTAATCAGAAAATACCTTCAAATTCTATTTGTAGTGAACATAAATTTCAAATTTTGAAAGAAAGAATCAAGTAAAATTAATAAAAAAAGCTCATTTTTTAAAAACAACTCATGGCCTTTTTCTGAAACTTATCACTTCGGCATGACTTTAGTCGTAGAATCGAAATATGGGAAAAAGTTCGTATAGCATTTCAGAAAATGTTCAAAATGGTATCCAAAATAACCATGTTAGAATAATGTTGTATAGAAATCTAATATACATAACATTATTCTAACATAAATATTGTAGAGATATTAGGATTTTTGTAGAAGCAGGCAAGATGAAAAATGAGCAATTGCCTTCGCCGGGAATCGAGTCACGGACCTCTGGAATACAGGCCCAGCGTGCAGAACCACTACACCACGAAGGCACCATGGAGGTAGGAAAGGGAGGAGGGGCCGCTAAAAGTGAAGCACTGCTTTGAAGCTTGGGTCACCAGATGGGGTGTTCTTTGTTTACATTCAGAAGCTCGCTTGACAAGATTCTGATAGTATTTCGACACACGACAGTTCCATAGAAATCGAAAAAGGGACACTTTCGCATGAAAGAAAGATTCATAGTGTGATGGATAATAGCAATTTGTATAGTTTAGTGACATTTACGCAAAAATCACATCTTGGTTATTTTCGATAACTAACAACAGCGATTTTGATTATGAATTTGTTTATAAAATTATAAGCTGTTGCACTACAAAAATATAGATTTTAAGAAAATTGTTATGCGTAAAGAATGAAAAATACCTTACGGTACATTTAAAATTGTATACGTCTTTTCGATACCCTTGATAGAGTATTCGCTACTTTTATTTTATTTTCCAAACGTCAAAATGTTTTTAAATAAAACAATTTTTTTCACATCCATATATTATTGTAACATGTACCTTTTAAAATTTTTTAGAGGAAAGGCTTTACTTGCTGCTCATTTTAAACCCATCGTTTTAATTTTATATATCTGAAAAATAATCACTTTGGGCTTACTCGTTTTATAAATATAAAATTATGTATGTTAAAATATTTGTAATTAGGCACATAGATCAGATTAAGTTTTTATTAAATAGAGTAACGCATGCAAGGGCTATCTACCTAAAGAGAGAGATGCCATCGTGGAGGAATTTTGAAGAAAAACTGACCTTTGAGTGGGTATTAAAAATAATACTTACAATTTTCTTTCAAATTATATTCATATATATTTTTTATGTAAAACTTTCGGGTGTATGCTTAATTAGTGTAAATTACTTTACACGAAAAATATAGTGAATGCACAGAAATTAAAGATTTGCGCATGCCGGAAATGAAAAATAGGAAATATGTATGGGTATTTATGCATGTGCTTGCAAAAAGCATGTATCTGACAAAATATTTAAATATTCATTAAATTATTTATAAATGCATTTGAAATGAAGAATTTATTCGCTTATAAATAACTGTGAAAGTACTGTGAAGAAAATCTAATTATTAAATGTATCTAATTTATAATGATTATAAATGTTATCTAAATATATAATAACCTTAATATTGAATTGTAAACATAAATTGAAATCCTGTTGACAATACGTTAATAAACTATTTAAGCAAGAATGTTTGTATTGGAAAGCAATCTGTTAAAAAGGTATTGTAAAGCCTAATGGTATGAGATGCGCACTTGAACGTAATAAAGAGTTTTGGAATATGTATTGTTGAAATGAAGGGTAAAAAAAAAAAAAAAATCTGATAAGTATAATTAAAAGAATTATTCCCCTTACATTTTATAATAACTCAGTTAAAAGTTTTAAATAATACTTAAAAAAAAAACTTATTTATTCCCTTTCAGAAATATTCAGAAAAGTCAAGTACTATTTAATACCTATTTAATTATTAGGATTATTAGCGAATACTTATTTAAAGTATTTCGCTAATTCCTAATAACTTCTCTCTCATTTAAATTGCACCGAATAGGAGCATTAATTATAAATTGACTTACATTTTTCGATTTAAAAGGTGCCTCAGAAGCCAAAAAATCATGTCATATTTAAGAAAGTATTTTAGGAAGAAGCTCTATAATAGAAAAGAAAATAATGCATAATTTTAATATTAATAATACAATAAACTTTGATCTTAATTTTTGTACCTTAACCGAATAAAATCGAATTACCTTAATTTTTTTTCTAATGTAATTAACGAAAACTTGTGAAAATATTTCATTCAAATTAAAACCATTCTGAGAAAACTGTCCTGTGAAAAGTATAGCATTTAATTCCGTTCAGAATGAAATGTTTTTTAAAAATCTGTTGTTTTCACATACTTAGGACTCTGAAGTGTTGTAGAAAAAAGAAATATATATTTATATGTATATTTACTACGTAATTACAAAATATTTACATCCGAACTCGTCAAATCCCATAGAACTCAATGGTAAATGACCCAATGTTTTGGTCACCACGTAGGGATCGCCGGTGCTTCAGAGCAGGGTACGGGAGAAACCTGTTTAGGGCGATCTTACTTCCTACCTCCATGGAAGGCACACTAGGAAGGCGGCAGAAATACCTTATATTTTTCCCCTTTTATAGGGCGGCTGGGATTTTTAGGGGACCCAATCGCCAAATCCTGAGTGTGGAGAATCCTCATCCTACACCCTTTTAGTTCAGGCGCCAGAGTCATTAGGATTATTTGCAGGCGGACGAGATGAAAACTTAGCAATCGTCTTCGCCGAGATGCAGAACCATTACACCACGAAGGCACCCTGGGAAGGGGGGAGAAATACCTTATAATATATCCTACATTGCATTTTTGAGATATGAAAAACGCAGGTTAAGTTTCGTCAATCGGTCAAGTTTGAACAAAAACTATAAAACTGTCTTTTATTTATTTATTTATTTTTGCGTGTGTGTGCAGAGTATACCTAGTTGTGAATATTGTCGGAATGCAAAATATTCCAGTGTTTAAGACAATGATAACAGAGTAGGTAACAGCGAATATGGCTGAAATGCAAAAATGGCAAAATAGAATCATTGCTTTACTCAATAATACTAGACATCGCAACTTCAAATATGCAGGCGATTAATCACTATAATACCGAATATGGTCGAGGTATGAAATATTCGAGAGTTTGACTCAATAATAGTAGACTAGATACCATAGATAGTCGAGATACAAAATGTTTGACTGCTTTTATTCAGTACTAGTGGAAGTACCTATTTAACTAGATTGACAGTTAAACTAGATTAAGAGTAATGCATCTAACAACAGAGAGAACGATACCGCTGTAATCCTTCTCTAATAACGATGCAAAAAATACAATTCATAGTCATACATTTTTCAGTCTGATGCAATATTAAACCCACATAAAAAGTTTGGATAGAAAAATAAGCAAATTCTCTCTCATTATATCAGCAACAATGTCATGCAGTTTTTAATGATTTTCGCCTTTCTAATCAAAGAAAAAGAAAAAGTCGTAAAAGCTCAAGGTCCATCCAATATTTCACCTATATTCAATTTTAGTCGATTAAATGTGGCAAACAATTTATCATAATTGATCAGAAACGCGAACAAGCAAACACACCAAACGGACATTCTGCTTTATATATATAGATTTTGTAAAATTTTCAATTTTTATAATTTTACAAAATTTTTGATTAACCAATTCTACGATTTGAAAGCGAGCAGAAGCTACACTTTTCGAATAAAGCTTTTTTATCTGCAACGCGCGACACTGTTGCTACTCGGAAAGATGAGTGCGAAAATTAGCGCTTTCAGACTTTTTAATTAATATTTCGGCTGATTAAAGTCATACGAAGATGGGAATAGCCGAAATGGCTTTCCACGAATTTTTGGAATCGGAAATAATGTATTTAATGTTTGGCAATGCTATTTTTATTTCGTCGTAAAACTCAGAAATTTTTTATTAACAAACTCTAGGATTTGAAAGCGAGCAGTGGCAACAACTTTTCAAAATAAAGCAGATTTTCATCTCCAGCTTGACAGACTGTTGCCACTCGAAAAAATGAGGGCGGATATTATCGTTTTTTCGAGTTTTTAATTAATATTTATGATTTTAGCTACTTTTGGTTTGGAAAAAAGGGAACATCGACCTTTTCCAGGAACCAGGACCCAGAAAAGAATTGTAGAATGTTTGGTGATGATGGTCATACTAATGACTTATTAGAGGACCACCAAACACACAGACTTATGTGTATAGATTATTAGATTACATATATTTCAGATATGCATTACACTGAATATGATCAAAATACAAGAAGTTTGAGTGTCTGATTCAATAATAGCAGACTAAATATCATAGAATATGGTCAAGATACAAAATAATTGATTGTTTTACTCAGCATTAATAGACTATGTAACACCGAATGTGGTTGAAATCTAAAATGTTCGAGAGTTTAAAATAATAACACCAGACTACGTAATTATGTCTAAATGCAAAACGCTCGAGTAATTAACTACATAATAGTAAAGTACGTAACACGGATTATGGTCTAATGCAAATTGCTCGAGTGTTTAAGACAATATTAGCAGACTATGTGTAGAGACATTAGGATTTTTTTAGAGGAAGAAAAGATGAAAAATGGCAAACGCCTTCGGCGGGAATCGAACCACGGACCTCTGGAATACCGGCCCAGCGTGCTACCGTTACACCACGGCCCGCCAAGGAAGTGGGAGAAATACCTTATATACCCCCGTTTTTAAAGGGCGACTAGGGTTTTAGGGGACCTAGTCGCTAAATCCTGGGTGTGGAGACTCATCATCCACAACCCTTTTTGTTCGGGCGCCACTGTAGAGTTCCTCACTTCGGAATTCTAAGTTAATGTTGGAAGTGAAGAATCTAAGAACTGATAAGCGAATAATCGCTTGAGTTCGGTGGCAAGTAACAACAAGATAGAAGGGTAACTAACCCTTTATTATTCCAATAAGATTTAAAGAAACTCCGCCTGGGAGTGTACAAGCAAAGCCCACACTTGGACTTGAGCTTAAAAGACTAAGAATTAAACTAAAACTAAGATTAACTAAAAGAAGTATAGCCGAAGCTATCAAGGTTCAAATCGAGTTTGCCTCTTAACTTATTTGACTACGAAGCTTAGCAAGGGCCTTAGTACGGCCGAGCGTAATAACAGCCTTGAGAGAGAGAGTGGCCAAAAAGGCAGACGCGCGTAAATCAGAAACTCTGATTCTCTCTGACTCAGTAAATAACTTCGTGGTTTAAATACCGCCCCCCTCATTAAATATTCAGCAAGATTCCAAAACTACGTTCTTGCCGGAAGTAGTAAGTTGAAGTTAAGAATTTGACAGGAAAGGAACTTAAAATTTAACTGTTAATAAAATTAACATAATCCTTACATATGTAAAACCGAATATTATCGAAATGAAAAATGTTTGAGTATTTTACTCACCTTTAACTTCTGTTTCTTTTCTAGTTACTCCGTTTTTCTTGCTTTCACCACTGCATCCTCCTCCTGCAGTGACATCGCATTTATCTACAACCAATTCAGTTGTTGACTTGGACTGATTCGTTGAAGAGGATTCGGATGTTGATTTTGTTGCTGAAGTAGATTGCGTTGTCGAACCAGATTCAGCCATGACAACTGTAGTATACAACCAAGTGGTGGAGGTAGCATCAGTTGTATCCAGAGTTGATTCCTCTGAGTCACCTTGAAGAACCACATTTCCACGTCCTTTGTTCCTTTTTCTCTTATGCTTGGGATGTTTTTTATTCTTCTTTTTCCCGCCCTTAGTTTTTTTAATTTCGTCTGTTTCTGTGTCTGAGGAGAAAACTTCTTCTGAACCGGCAATATTTTCCACGATAACAGTCGGGGAAATTTCTTCTGCAAGACCCAATGCTGCCTTGAACAAAGAAGTTTCGATATTTTTTGCATCAGGATCTCCTAAAGGTACAGTAATATAATATTAGATTTTTTAATAATCGTGGTAATTCAAATTCAGACAAAATGCATACATAATGGAATAATGAAGACATACACACAAATGAAATGTTTTATCAGTAAGAGTTATTAGCAGATTATTAGTAAGAATTTATCAGTAACATTTTATTAACTTAAAAACTTTCATTCCAAACAAAATTACTGTACATACCACGCTAAAAACTTTTAGGCCTAGTCAGCACCAGAGGTGCTATTAATCTCGATCCTCACCTTTTTATCCGTATCACTTTTCAAATAAAAGGATGTTGTCACCCTATATTTTTGCCATGTATTATTTTTAAAGAAATAATGTATCGAAATGAAAAAATGTATGGCTACAAAATAAAAGGACGTTGTCACCAAATATTATCACCATGTATTATTTTTAAGACATATATAGCGAATATAAAAAATGTATGGCAACACTAGATACTCTATTGGAAATTCTAAAATTAGGCTGATTTTAATATTTTGTGATTTTGCTGAGGAATTTCATGACTTAGGTGCAAAGAAAATTATGTTTAATAAACAAAAACAAAAAGTTAATAATAAAAAAGCAAAAGAAAAGTTCTGTAAGTCATCTTACTAAGAAAACTGCACATCGATATGACGGGTGAAAAGAGACTAAAAAAGTATTGATGGCAACACTTTATCAGGGAATACTGAAAATGTGCTGCTTCTAAAATTGTCAGGATTTTGCTGCTGAATTTTATGTGGCTTGAGCGCGAGAAAAGCGGTGCTCAAAAATAAAGCTAAAAGACAAAAGAATTGTGCTAGCAAGCCTGAGTCGGAGAGCAGATTGGTGAAGAGTGCGAGCTTAGCGACAGTGTAAAAATGGTAACAAACCCTCTGGTACGTCGTTAAAATGTGTATTCTTTCAGATTTTCTGTCTTCTCTCTTTGTCTTTCTCTTTATTTTTTTTAATTCCAGTAAATATTCCAAATAATGAAGGACAGCATACACTGCTATGAAATATGATATCTGAACTATTTTCCTAAAATATCATCTGCCTTCTGATAGAATGTTTTCCATAATTATTTTCGTGCAATATGTATTGCAAAAATACTGGAGTATTTTTCGAGCATTTATTTTTTTAAATTGCAGTAAATCTTTCAAAAGATAAATGACAGCATATATTACGATGAAATCTCAGCTTGCACCCTCTGTAAAAATCGTTTGCTTTCAGACAGCTTTTTTTTTTTTTTTTTTTTTTTTTTTTGTGAAAATAGTTGTTTTCTTCCATTCATTAAGCATCTGCTGTTACGAATTCGAAAGCTGACCAAAATGGGCGAGTTTCTGGATTTTGCTAGTTGTTCTATTCAGAACACGCGCTTAAATTTGAACCAAGTTATTAGTCTCTAATCTGTTATTTGATATGTTACTGTTGTACTTTTAGCCCTAACAACCGCAGTTTTAATCTTCTAAACACTTTAGAAATAGTTTCAATTGTTTTAAATATTGTTGCATTAACACAGTGTTCCAGAATGAGTCGAGATAATAAATTGTGTATAATCTGTTAATGAAGTTAAACATTAACAGAAGTGAAAGTGTTTAGGTGAAGAGAAATTGAATCCAACCTCGCAAAATGAATACCATAAACTAAGGCAGTTTGAAAAATGCCCTTGAATCGTAGAAAGTAAAACTAGTAACTTTTAGGAGACATTTCTATTTATGTAGAACTTCTTTTTATATTTGGCAGATAAACAAATTTCGATTTCTCTAATTTAAAAATAAATAAGATAGAACGTTATTTCCTTTGCTTAAAATTATCTGGGATTCCACCAGCAGTCGAGCAGAGAATGCGGCTAAATTCTAATAATTCTACCTCGATTTCAATCTTCGCAAACGGATTTGGGTGCGTAATATTTTTGTACTTTTCCCTATAAGTTATTTTCTTCCTCCTTCCAGCATTCCTTCGGGGTGTAACAGTAGCACACTCTGCACTTATTCGAGAGGTCCAGGTTCGTATCCTGGCGAGGGTATTGCTCATTCTTTCATTCTCTTCAGAATAACCTAACGACTCTACATCCCTGTGTGTAACATGAAGCTTATTCTGAAAGATTATTAGTATAGTTGGAACCTTCTCTGACAAGAGTAATAAAATTAGCTTCAGACTATTTGCTGCCCTTAATATGCGTCATATGTTCGACTGGGACGGTGAATCTGTATCTCAGAATAATGAAATCACCATGCCTTAACGTCATAGATCTGTGTCGATAACATTTTATCATGTTCCAGATACTCCTGCGACCAGAGAATCCAGCGGCTTTAATCCAGATTTAACAATCACTTGATAATACGAAATTTTTATAAATACTTTGCAATGACTTCTCCAGAATGAGCTGCTTTATGAAGAGCTAGAACTTGATACTGAGGCGGTGTTTGCTGGTGTTGTCGCTGCCTATGAACCAAATGCTCCTTAGTCTACCCAACTAGGTATATTAATGGCGATGTTTGCCAATACGGGGAGGGGCTGTAAAGATGCTATTCATTGGCTGATGCTGTTGGCTGAGGATAATTCTCCAGAATTTCGGGGCCATAGCTTGATCCCTAAACCGATCAGGTCAAAAACAGCTGTATCTGACGCGAATGATTTTAGCCGTAAACTTCCTGTATGGCGAGGGTAGTACCTAAATATATATTCAAAATGATTCCACTGAGTAGTCAGAGTTAATCAAACGCATAAAAGACCTGCATTTTGTATTTCAGGCGTGATTAATATTTTGACTCTTCAGCACATTTTTCTGGAGTTTCATGTTTGCGAGAGACGTAAGTCTGAGAAAAGACGAAGCAAATTGTTAGACTTAACAACGAGTGACAAAAATTGTTACAAGTATGGTTGAAGTATTTGTTTTATGTATTTGGAGCTGGCGTAATGTTGCGCATAAGTATAGAATCACAGTAAGTGTAGAAACAATGATGGTTATTTTTGTAGAGTCAAGTGTAGTACCTAGTGTCGTGAATTCAGGGTTACTAACTGCATTTATAAGACCCTAAAGTTACCCATCTGGTTGATACACTTGAGTTTACATCATGTTGATGTAAACTCAAGTGTAGTGCTTGGTGAAGTGCTTGCACTTGCAGACTCTGGTGAAGTGTTTGATATCGTAACATCAGAAACAATGTTTGTAATTGTGGACTCAATTGCCGTGTCAGTTAAAGTTTCTGGAGTAAGACTTGTGTGCGTAGACTCTGTCCTAATAATTGTACATGACGATTCCAATGTAGCAACTTTAGACTCCGCAGAATTTTCAACATTTGTAAACTCACTTGTGCTATTATTAAATGTAGACTGTATTTTTGTGATTATAAATTCAGAAGCAGTGTCCATAATTGTGGACTCGATTTTAGTGCCAATTATAAATGCGGGAGTAATGTGTACATTTTCAGCCTCAGTTGAGCAATGTTCCCATTGAAGATATATATAAGAGCCCGGCTTGTTGTTGTAGATCCAAGAACAGTGCCCATAATTGTAGATTCAGTTATTTTACTTTTAGCTGCAGAGCTTTTAATCGCAGGCATTATTAATGAGCTTTCAGTTGTATATTCAAGTGTAGTACCCGTAACTGTAGATTCGAAAACAGTGCCCATAGTTGCAGATTCAGTTGTTATGCTTTCAATTTTAGTACTTATTGTATGCTCACTCATTGAGACTTTAGTTGTTGATTCAGTTGCATTGCTTGTAGGTGTAGATACAATAGTAATGCCTGTAATAGTAGAATATAGGAGTATTTCCTTTAGTTTTAGACTCAATTATTATATTTTCATTAACAGCTTCATGTGTAGTTCCTGCAGCCGTAGATTCAAGGATAGTGCCTGTAATTGTATATTCACTTATTGCAATTTCATTAATAGATTCAGGTGTAGAGTTTGTAGCTATGTATGCAAGAGTAATACCTGTACTTGTAGACGTGCCTGCTGTCGTAGAATCGGTTATTGAGCTTTCAGTTGCTGATTCAGGCGTGAAGCCCATAGCTGTAGACTGAAGAATAGTGCCCGTAGTTTGAGACTCAACTGTTGTATTTTCAATAATAAATTCAGCTGTAGTGTCTATAATTTTAGACTCAGCTGTTATACTTTCAATAATATACTCAGGCATAGGGCCTGCATTTGCAGATTCAGTAGGACTGCCAGTAGTTGTAGACTCAGCTTTAATTTCATTAATAGATTCCAGTGTATTGCCTGTAGCATACACAAGCGTAACGCCTGTAGTTGTAGATTTAGTTGTTGTGCTTTTATTAATGGATTCAGGTATAGTGCCTGTAGCCTCAGATTCAAGATTAGTGCTTGTAGTTATAAATTCAGTTGTGCTAGGTGCAGTGCCTGTAATTATAGATTTAAAAGTAGTGCCTGCAGTTGTAGATTCAGTTGTTGTTCTACGATTTGTAGACTCATGTGAAATGAATGTAGTTATAGACTCATTTATTAAGTTTTCAGTTGTAGATTCATGCATAATTCCTGCGGTTGGTATGTTTTCAGATGTAGATTCAGATATAATTCCTGCACTTGTAGACTCAACTGTTCTGCTTTCAGCTGTAGATTCATATGTAATACTTCTAGCTGTAGATTCGCGAAAATGTGTAGCCTGAGTTGCAGTTGTAAATTCATTTTCAGTATTTCCCGTTGTGGATTCATTTGAAGAGTCCATACTTTTATATTTAGAAGTACTATCAGTATTGCTAGATTCAATAATAGAGCTTTCAGTTTTATACTGAAGTTTTGCATTTGTAGCTGTATAATCAGGTGTAGTGTCTATAGCTAAAGAATCGGTTGCGGAGGTTTCATTTGTATGTGCAAGTACTGTACCGGTGGAGATAACTTCAGGAGCAGTATCTGCAATTGTAGACTCAATTGCAGTATTTTCTGTAGTATAAGCATACTTAGCGGCTTGAGTTGCAAACTCTGTTGAAGGTTTAAAAGTAGTAGTTATTGATTCGTCTGTGGTGAGTGTTCTTAAAGTTTCATATGTAGTAGGTGAAACTTCAGACTTAAATGCGGTAATGATTTCATCCGTAGAAGTAGATCTAGGAGTGATAGATGTTCTAGATGCTAATGTTGTTGATTTGCGAGATTTCTTTTTCTTATTTTTTACGTTTTTTGTTTTCTCCTTTTTTACATTCTTCGTGCCGATGGTAGATGTAATAGGAGACTCAGAATTAGTGGCATTATTTATGGAGACATTTTTGATGTCTTCAATCGCAGACTTGATGATATCAATTGCAGGTACAGACCCAGTGATAGTGCTTTCTGTGGTAGATTCGTACGTAGCAGCTTGTGTAACCAACTCTATTGAAGTTCTTTCTGTTGTAGGTTCAAAACTAATAAATGTAACTGTAGATTCGTCTGTGGTGAGTGTTGTTAGAGTCTCAGATGTAATGAGTGAAACTTCAGATTCAGCTGCAGTTACGATTCCCTCTGTAGTCATAGATTTAGATTGGCTAGAGATTTCAGATGCAGATATTTTTAATTTGTGAGATTTCTTTTTCTTATTTTTTAATTTTCTTCTTTCCTGCTTTTTTGCTGCCGTCGTACTAAGGACAGATTTAGTTGCAACCTCAGAGCTTATGATCCTATTTTCGGATGCTTTTCTAATGTCTTCACTTTTAGTCTTCATGGCAGTGACTGCAGGTGTAAACTCAGCGGTAGATTCGTGCGCAGTAACTTGAGTTGTAAACTCATTTGAAAGACTTTTTGTTGGAGGTTCAAGATCACGAAATGTAGCTGTAGATATATGTGAGGTAAACGTCAGACTCCCGGATACAGTGGGTGAAACATCAGATTCAAGTGTAGTCAAGAAACCCTCTGTAGTACCAGATGTAAATGTACTAGTAGCAGATTTAGGACTGGTGGAGCCATTTGCGGAATCATTTGCGATGTCTTCGGTCATAGATTCAATGGTAGAGTCTGAAGCTGTAAATTCACGTGCAGAGTTTGTGGTTGTATATTTAGATTCATTGCTGTTCGTTGTATATTCAATTATAGCGCCTCCTATAGTTGTAAATTTAATATCTGGGACTGTACCTGTAGATCCAGAATTGGTGCCTATAGCTTTATACTCAGATGTGGTAGACGTAACTGCAGATTCAAAGTTAGTGAGTATTGGAGCAAGTGTAGTTGCAGACCCAAATGTAGTTGAAGCTTCATGTGCAGCATTAGTTCCAAGTGTAGGGAGTATGAAAGATGGAAGTGATAAAAATTTGTGGGATAATTTCTTCTTTTCCTTCTTATGTTTTAATTTCTTCTTTTTTTGTTTTTTATTGGATCGTGTACTGCTAAGCGGAGAGGAGGTATGTGACACAGTTCTAGTACCATCAACTGCTATTTCAGTTGCAGATTCATTTAAAATATTTGAAGTTGCCTGTTCAGGTGCAATATCTGCAATTATAGACTTAGATGTAATGGAAATAATTGCAAATTCTGGTATCGTTAGAGTAACTGGAGATTTAGATATTGTAGACGCAGCTGCAGACTCTGATGAAGTACTGGATCCAGATGGAGTAGATGTCTTAAGGCTAGAGGATATTGATTTAAGAGATAATGCTTTATGTTTCTTTTTTTTCTTATTTTTGTGGTTTTTCCTTTTCAGTTTTTCTTTAGCTGAGGCAGTTTTGAGGTTATTGTTACTTTTCTTTGACGACGTAACGTCATGAGTACCTAAAGGTGAAAAGAATTTATTGTATTTTCATTTGATAAATTAAGTATTCATAACAGTTATTTCTGTATGATTAATGATAAATCTTTTTGTATCAGGTAAGCTAAACACTTTTATACGGAATGGAAAAAAATCTTCAGGAACTACGATTTACGAAATGTACTTTAATTAATAATGTATATATGTACACAAAGGCCTCAAAAACTACGCTGTGAGAGATCTGCTTTCCCTAATAATTTGAATATGTAACTCAGAAAAATCGGTGGATATTATTTAATCGTACCTCAGTAAATTTTTGCCTAGTAAAGTTGAATCCTTCTGTAACGAACCCAGCTCATAACAAATCCCTGGATATAATGAATGAACCCGTTGATCCCGTCAAGTTTATAATATATTTAATACAAGAAATATCTCAATTCAAACATTTTTACATTTTTCATATTTTTTCAGAATATCTGCAAGTTCTAACGATGAACTGAATGATCTAAATCATTCAGGTTTAAGAAAATACACATTCCATCTCCATTTCTTATTTCTTCCGTAAAAGTCAACGCTTTCTTTTATTTTCACCCTCACTTTTCTTTGTGTTCTGAGCAAAGGTTATGCAAGACACGTTTGACACCCAACTATAGGAGAATGAAGATACAATAAACATGTCTTAGGACACCGTATGGTCTACATGACTATTGAACCAATAAACGAGTATGCGTTCTCTGATTCCATTCAAATTCTCTGACTGAGCTGCCAAAGACAACTCTATTCAAGGTTCATGCTATGATGGAAATTTTGAAGTTTTTGCTATTAAGGGAAAGGTGAAATAAAGATACAGGTTAAAAGTAGACTAGCACCTCTAGTAGTATCGTAAGGGATTGAGGTGTCTATACGCTTACAAATATCCAGTTCAGGATTGATAACCCATCGGTATGGCCAATTGGTACGGCAGTCAGCGTCACTAACCGCGGAAAAGCGGAAGTAGTGAATCGTACGGGCTTGTGGTTTTACCATTAATTGTTTTTTAGGGAATGACAAGTTTTGATCCTCAGTAGTTTGTTTTGTGCGAATATAAATGCTGTCCAAGTTCTATTGGGTTTTTGCATTCTTTAGGTGTTTTGAAAGACATATTATTTATTCATTTCATTAAATCTTTGCGTCACATCCATACATAACTTGGGAGTAATGATTGTATTCTCAACGGAAATGAGACTCTTAGGTACTGAAATTATTCTCCTTTTTCATATTTTCTGGAGAAGCAAATCTCCCACTTTATATTCTTTGACCAAACTGTTTTCACTCTGTCTTCGTCTAATATTTATTCGCATGGCGAGCTCTAAATGTAAGAGTTCTACAACGATGATAGCATGAATATTATTCGAAAATACAAACTGGATGAATCCGAAGCAACATCTGCCAGAAAAATAATTTATGTAAGTCTATAATTAGTACCATATGGAAACACAGAAACTTATTAATTTCTGCTCTGGAACAAATTTGGATACGAGAGAAAAGTTGAGAAAGTTGAAAACGTAAGTATGCTGAAGAAGCATTGCTGAAATTGTTCGCTATTCAAGGAAGCCGCAATCTGCCAACATCTGGACAACTGCTTCAGACAAAAGCCAATGTATTAGCCAAACACTCTGTAAAAACTGGAAAAAATCGAACAATAAATTTAATAACTATACATAATAATAAATGCAATTAAAATTTAATGATTTTTTTTAAAAATTGAATTTATTATTCAGTTCATTTTGTAGACGTGACAATCTATTTCTTTCCTCATCATTTATTTTTTACATATTTTTGCGAAATAATCCATTTTTTATCAGATCGGATTTACCGAACCAAACTTCCGGGCCCTTGAAATTCGTTATAGCGAGATTCTCTAATTTCCTCAACAAATACTATTTTAGAAATCTGTTTTATCTAATTATTTGAATATATGTTCAAATATCTCAGTAAATACGATTTAAGAGATCTGCTTTATCTAATAATTTTGAAAGTGTAACTTAAAAACCTCGGCGGCTATGATTTAAGAGATTTGTTTTACGTATAAATTTGCCTATATATTCAAAAGCTCGGGCAACTATGATTTGAGAGAACTATTTTACCTAATAATTTGAATATGTACTCAACAACTTCAGCGAATACGATTGATAGACTTCTTGTATTTAATAGTTTGTAAAAGTTTTAGAATTATCTCAATGTGACTAGATTCAACACTGACGGAAGAATTCGGCGATGTGTCATGTTTGAAAATAAAACATTTTCTGATTCTAATGACGAAATAGTATATTCGAGCATTTATTTGGGCGTCAGTAATTACAGAACCCCTGATTCTTGATCTGTCAAAGATTAAATTCAAGGGAAAAGTAATTTTTTTCCTCAGTAGTTAGGGGTTTTTATTACATCTGCAGTAATTTTTCTTTAAAATTATAAACAATATTTTTCGATATTACAGTTTAGCAGTGAAAACACTAGAAATAATTATCTTAATAGTTTGAGGTGAGAATTTAGTTATAATTTATATATTACCTTTAAAAACCAGCTAACTAACTTAATAAGAATTATGTAACCGTAAAAAATGAGTTTATACAGAGCAATTTAAATAGCTCTGCATAATGTCGCTGATTATTTCTTCTATTAACTTTCGGAAATTATTTAACTATTGCTCAGCTTCAATAATTAATGTTAGTATGTTTCACTATTAGCAATAATAAAATAAACTTTTTTTTTATTACAATGTCTTCCATTCTTTCATCACAGCAGTTCCAAGGGACACTTTTCATTTTTAATGGTCTTGAGTATTTTATCAAAATGCTATCTACTGCTTCATCTCAACTGTAATGACAGAAGTCATTGATTTCAATATGCTTAAATATTTCATAAAAACAGTAGTAATAATTATAACTACTGATTTCAAAAATTCTTGCGTGCGTACGAGTTCGCGATAGACTGAATGCACAAAGGTCCGATGATAGGTGGGTAAAATATATTTTATCAAAAGTAACACTTCAGAGTTCTGGAATTCACCTCAGAAATACTCCTCAAAGTGTTCACAGTATCATAAAGTACAATGAGTGCGTACACTTCAAATTACTAAGAACATTAAACACAACGCAATGCACAGCGCATCCAAAAGACGAAGCTTTCCTGGATATCTCAATACACCGAAGTCGCTCTCAATTAACAACCCACAACAACAGCTGAGAAAAGATGCTCTTTCCTGCCTTATATAGTTTTTAAATACTGGATACTCTAATGTTAATATTACCGTGTATTTTTATCGGAATACAGGTTTCTTATAAATAAAGAATATTATAATAGTTGCCAGGTGTTTATTCATGAATATTATTCATTTGTTATGTTCTTTTTGTAACCGAGTACTTCAGAAATTAAATGATTCCTATAATTTTCGCCACTCGATTTATTTACGAGGGGGAAATTTACGAGTAAATATGGTAATGGCTTTTTTTTAATCCAATGTTAACGTTGTTTTTTAATCCACTCCTAATTTTATCAATTCAATGACTTTTTCTAACATTCAATCATAAAATATTATTTGACTTATTGACTTTCTTTTACCCGAGTAGGCTAGGTATTATGTCTCTTTTGACAGTTTAAAAATACACCAGGTAATATTGACTCATTGACTTTTTTAATGCATGATGTTCTTTATTCATTCACTTAACTCTCGAGTATATTAGATTATTATAGACATCCGAACAGACCACATATACCCTAGGCATTGATAAACATATACCAGTGCAGAATTTTTTTAATAAACATTCAAATTCATTTAAGATTATTGATTCATCGGCATTTCTACAAACACGAATACATCAAGTATTATTGACTCATTGAATTTTTTTAACACACAGATACTGCGAATCTTACTGTTAATAATGTTATTGATTAATTAGCTATTTTTAACGCAGCTCTACAAATGTACACTGCCCAAAAAGAAAAAAAAAGCGGGGAAAAAGGACAGTTCTATATCTGCCGCTGTACTGCACAGATTAACGAAATTCAACTTGCGTTTTTTATGTCTCGAAAGCTCGACTTAGGATATGTATTAGATTTATATATAACATTGTTCTAATGTAGGTATTTTGACACTAAATATGACTTTTTCTGAAATGACATGCCACTTGTTTCCATATTTCGATTCTACTACTCAAATGATGCCAAACTGCCAAGTTCTGTAAAAATCACACGAGTAGTTTTCAAAAAAAAAGCTCTCAAAATTTTAGCTCCTCAATGTTAATTGAAATTTCGTATATATTTATTAATATCTCTTTTTAACTAAACTTATTTGATTCTTTCTTTCACATTTCGAAATTTAGGTTATTCCAAATAAAATTCGCCCATTTTTTAAATTATTTTTAAATAACTTTGATAAATTTTTCGAAAAGCATTTTGAATTTAATCTATAAAAGTTTTACTCAAATTTTAAAGTAGATGTATTTCTACACATACCTGCAAAAAATTAGAGTTTTTTATTTAAAATTTCCAAAGTTATACGTGAATTTATATACTGGAGCATTCTGAAATTTTACATATTTGTTGAAAGCGATAATAACATCAAAAATAGTTTAGGCACTTTGTTACAATTATTTGAAAGTAGGAATGATGTGACTTTTTTCCGCTCATGCATAATGTAAAAAGAGAAAGAAAAATAGGTTGTCATATATTATATTAAGAAGTTCGCCAAGTAAATTATTCTTGGCACAATGTGAAAAAAAATGCGGCAAGATAAATCTTTGGATTTCGCGCCAAATTTTACAAAATTTTATATTTATGCATAATTTCAGTCTTAGAAACGAAATATGGAAAACAATTGGCAGGGCATTTCAGAGATAAGTCCCATTTTGTGTCAAAATAAATCTAATATAAAAAATAGTGCTATAAATAAATCTAATATATATCCTAAGCCGCGCTTTCGGAACATGAAAAACGCAAATTGAATTTCGTCAATTGACCCAGTAGAACGGGAGATATAGAACTGCCC